AAGAGGAAACTTGTGATAAGCAAAAATCAGATGTATGCACTAAGAGACAAAGAAGGTAAACTATTTAATAATATGGATAAGATAGTTGAAATAGCGGGGAAGTTTTACAGAGATCTGTATAGTAGTTGGAACAACCATGACCGCACCAGTAATTATAGAAGAAGTCAGAAAAGTCCTGGAGAGCATGCAAGGAGGCAAAGCTGCTGGTGAGGATCGGGTAACATTGGATCTCCTGAAAGATGGAAGACAGATTGTGTTAGAAAAACTAGCCACCCTGTTTACAAGGTGTATCTTGGTGGGAAGAGTTCGAGAATCTTCGAAGAATGCTATTATCATTTTAATACACAAGAAAGGAGATGATAAGGACTTGAAGAATTACAGGCCGATCAGCTTGCTCTCCGTTGTATACAAGCTATTTACACAGGTACTTGCTAACAGAATTAAGGCAACATTACAATTCAATCAACCAAAGAGACAAGCGGGATTTCGAACAGGCTACTAAAAAATCGACCACATTCATGCTATAAACCAAGCAATAGAGAAATGCTCAGAATACAGCCAACCACTTTACATAGCCTTTATAGATTACGAGAAGGCGTTTGATTCAGTAGAAATATCAGCAGTCATGCAGACACTGCGAAATTAGGGCGTCGACGAAGCCTATATAAACATCCTGGAAGAAATCTACAGGGGATCAACTGCTACCATAGTGCTTCATAAAGAAAGCAGCAGAATACCAATCAACAAGGGTGTAAGGCAGAAGGATACAATCTCCCCAATGCTATTTACCGCGTGCTTACAGGAGGTTTTCAGAGGCCTAGAATGGGAAGAGTTGGGAATAAGAGTTAATGGAGAGTACCTTAGTAACCTGCGCTTCGCCGATGACATTGCATTGCTGAGTAACTCGGGGAACGAATTTCAACTCATGATTACAGAGTTAGAAAAGGAGAGCAGAAAGGTGGGTCTTAAAATCAATCTGCAGAAAACGAAAGTAATATGCAACAACCTTGGAAGAGAGCAGCCCTTTGAGGTAGATAATAGTGCACTTCAAGTTGTAAAAGACTATGTCTACTTAGGGCAGGTAATAACCGCGGAACCGAACCACGAGATTGAAGTAACTAGAAGAATAAGAATGGGGTGGAGCACATTTGGCAAGCACTCTCAAACCAAGACAGGTAGATTGCCACTATCCCTCATAAGGGAGGTATATAAGAGCTGCTTCTTGCCGGTACTTAGCTATGGAGCAGAAACCTGGAGAATTACAAAGAGGGTTCATCTTAAATTGAGGACAACGCAGCGAGCAATGGAAAGAAAAATGGTAGGTGTAACCTTAAGAGACAAGAAGAGAGCAGAGTGGATTAGGGAACAAACGGGGGTTAAGGAAATCATAGTTGAAATCAAGAAGAGGAAATGGACATGGGCCGGGCATATAGCGCATAGACAGGGTAACCGCTGGTCATTAAGGGTAACTAACTGGATTTCCAGAGAAGGCAAGCGGGTTAGGGGGAGACAGAAAGTTAGGTGGGCAGATGAGATTAAAAAGTTTGCAGGTATAAAATGGCAGCAGCAAGCACAGGACCGAGTTGGCTGGCGGAACATGGAAAGGCCTTTGTCCTGCAGTGAACGTAGACAGGCTGATGATGATGATGATGGCATAGACGAGCGTAACCGAATCACATACGCTGCTAGTGACACGCTAAACACACATCCTTATACAATGTTCCAATATGTTTATTGCACATGCAAAAGAAGGCATCTCACAAATGCCTTCATTTCAATATACTAATATGTAGCACTTCTGCATAAATCGATCTCAGCACTGCTGTTATGACGAGCTTCATTCAGCCCAGTGTAGACTGTAAGCAGCACAACTACGTCATACAGGCCGGGCTTCTGAATAAGAAAGCTAGAGGCATGAACACTTTAGGTGCCAGCGAAACGTTCACTTACAATATATGCATTAAGAAGTAGATTCATTATTAAATCTGTCACAAATGCAATGATCGAAATCGAAAAAGCCTTTATTTATATCAAGTGCTGCTACGCGGACAGCTTCAACTACAATGTTGCTTCATGTAGTGGCATTCAGCTGTGATTGAAGGTAACGGTAGCAATTAAATGTCTAGATCATCGTATCTGTGATTGTTGCATCAATACACCGATGATTCTAAATTTTGATAGAAAAATATTACCCGAGCCGAAATAGAAATAAAGTGCCAATGTCACACGGTCGCTTTCAATGGCGATCACTTATATCAGAACATCTAGTCTGCTATCTTTGTCTGCGTCAAAAACCCGTGATGTCTGGTGGAGGTGCTTCCCGGCCCCTGCCAACGCATGGGCTGGGAAGCCCCTTCACCAGACGTCACGGGGTCGTGACCCAGACAAAGGAAGCAGACTAGATGTTCTGATGAAACTGTTTTTTCGTCCAAACATGTGGCCACGTAAAAGAAAAAAGAGTGTACAGCTATACACTGGCACTGATAGCCACGAACAAAGCGTCAGCCGTCGATCAACTGACAAGTGGTGAAGCGCGTCGGCATTTACCCACATGCCACCATATATTCTAGCGACATCGCTCACGGTCACGTAGGTTCTAGAATAATCTGTAATGTTTGCAAAGTGGGAGTTATTTTAAGAAAATTATCTACGGTAGACCGGAAGCTTTTTGGTTTGCACTAAGCATTACTGACAGTGAAACAGGGCGATAACAAAACTCAAGGAGGGAAAGTGGCAGTATCAACAAGATTATACGCGCTGTTATGGCACATAAGTAGTCTTACAGCCTTGCCTCAGTTTGTTTTGTTTTTTTTTTTTTTCGCGAAGGTCACTCTGGTGGCTGCGAGGGCCCCTCAGGTGCGGTAACAAGGAACCACGTCACTGTTCAGTCGTACACACTTGATCATCAATTCCAGCGACTTTCTAGCAGGTTTAAAGTCTTTTCTTTTAACTGCAGCGACAAATTTTGGAGCCATCTTCTTAGGCCAAGAAAACTTGTGAAAAGCGACCTGATCCCGACCAAAAGTGCTGCGACAGCCATATGCCGTGCAGTAATCCAGTCTCGCAAGTCCATTTTGACCCAGCGGAAACATAACTAGTGAATGTCGGATGGCAAAAATCTAATCAGAAGAAGAGAACAGAGCAATGGCGAGAAATCCCTACGAACTGGCAGGACTGTTGCTTTGCTAGGCAGCAGATTGCAGGAGAAATGATGCACAATCTTGAAGTAAAGAAGCTGAGCTGACTGAGTGACGCAGGCGACCCGACAGCTCGATTCTTACAATGACGTCACCTCCCCACGTGTCCATCTCTCCCACGCTCCACCCCTGCACTGGGCACGCACTAGGTAGGGACATTCCTGTGGTCAATGTTTGCGTGCTTATAGCACTGTTGTTTGATAGAAAATTTATGGTGACCCCGCTCTTAACTGCAGCGGACGATCACTGCGGGTTCACGCTTAGCGAGCCACAGGGTCGCTACTCCGTTTACTCGCGTGTAGCGCACCGCTCCACGCGCGCTCAACTAATAAGGCATTTAGCGCGGCACGGCAAACAGAACAGTGTTCTAATGCAAAACACAACACTTTATTGCCACTGGCGGCACCCCGAACAACAGTACAACGTCCGTTCCCGGGACGCGGGTAGCAAAGGCACCCGCACGCGGACGTTCACAATAAGGGGAAAAACCGCGAGCACGTCGCAGCTGGCAATGGCGAGCTTTGACACGCCGGTCGGGAAAAGGTCCCTCGCGGCTATGCTGCGCACTCTCACGATGGCCAATGGACCTGGTCACGAGTGTTAGGGCAAACCTCGTACGCGTAAGGCCTACGGCAAGTGCGGCTCGTGGTACGACCACTTCAAGCACTAGGCACCGCTGTGGGCTTAGCGTACGCTACCGAAGCTAGCACTAAAGTAAACACGCCTGCCGAGGTGCGCAAGGCCACCCCAGGCAGGCTACAGTCCGGCGATTCCCAAAGGGGACGCGGACGAAGGAAAACACGTGCTTACCCGGCGCTGTCCACGGAGAAAAGAGCGCTCCCTCGGCGCGCGCGTACCGCGTGCCGTGCCCGCACGTGGCGCCATCTATCGCCACGTGGTGTTAACAGAGCGGGAAAGCAAAAGGGTGTGGCCGTGTGGCGGAATGCCCGCGAAATGGTCGCGGGCGCGCCTCAGATCCCCACAAATTAAAGAAAAAAAGCATAGGCATGTTGCGAGAGGTCGCAGATACCAAACGCACAATAAATTCCTGAATGCAATACCACTTCAGTGTCCCTTTAGGAAATTTTTTTTCGTACAGGAAAAGGGACAGAAATGTGGCCAAACACAAAACTTGCAACGTGTGCCCTGCGGCCACGGACTCGCAAGCAGCTGCCGGGTAATAAATAGTATGCTGGTGCAGTGGCAGAAAAAGAAAAAAATGGCAGCTATGAGTGATCGTAACTTGTAGAATTGTAGTTACCTGAGGGATGTGGGGGGGTCACCAAGGGTCAGGGGTGTCAATGACGCTAGGAAGGTGATGGCTCATGCAAGCTTCAAAATATACCTTCCAAGCTATGTTTGCTGTTGATATTTTGCAAACGTTCAACAAAAGTTCACAAGAATTGACCCTGTGGGCAACCTGGGTCGCCGCATTTCGTGTCAGTACTCCATAAATATTTCTGGCTGTTACCAAGAGAGAGTGACGATCTGGGGGCTCATGAGGACAATAGTGCATGCACACTGTCAACCTGTTTTTTTGCCCTCTTTATTAAGTACCCAGCCCAACCATGAACTTCTACTAGGATGGGACTTTTTACATGTAGAAACAACCAAGGAACTTGTTCTCTGCCTCTTCGGGTGGCTTGACACCCTAAATAACTACTGTCCACTGCAGCAGACGAGCTGTAAAAATCAACAATACAAATTTTTTCCACATTTGGGGTGAATTCCTCAACAAAAAATATTCAAAAAGAGACATCTGACATGGCCTTGATAGGGAAAAAAGAATGTAAGCAGGTTCACCGTCAGAGCAAAGGGCAGTGAGAGGGAGCCATGAATGACTACTGCCCGGCCTTCACCATCATAGTCCATAGAAGAGATCAGCTTCAGCTTTGCATCCACCCAGTAGATCCTGCATTAGACGGTCGGTTAGAATTGCTTAAAGGTTAGGCAGTGAATTTGACTTGCCATACAAATCTACTGTATATAGAGATGGCTCAAAGCAAGTATAAAGCTGAGCCAATTCTGATAAGATATTAAAGTCATTTTTCCTTAAAAGGCATCTGACATCGGCATTACCTTGAAATCAGTTTACAATACTAATTCTGGTGACTTCACACATCAGTCTGGCTATTTGCCCAGAGATCGAGCGTAGTCGTCACTTTGTGGCCACTGGCTTAACGGTCAGACTCCGGTGGCACCCACTCTGCATTTCAGTCATTTTTTGCTGATGCGCTACGCTTACTGCGCTTATCATATTGATGTGAATTGTATTGCATTAGAAAGCTTACGTTCTCCACTTTCTAATGACAGCTAGTATTGTCGCTTAGTCCGAAGCGGTATAGCACAGCAATGAAAACAGCGTTCTTGCTGTACAAGCCTTCGTTCTACTGGCAGTGCAGCAAAACAGTTCAATATAACCAAATTAAATTTCCTGAGCCTCTTAATAAAGCATTATGCGAAGTTTCTATGAAGAGATATTGCAAGTAAATCTATTAGAAGGTAATGCAGGCTCCAATCAAAATGGGCAGAACAATGCAAGTTTATGAGTAAACAACTTTTTTTCTTTTTTTTTTTGTGCATTTAATGAGTGTCAAGGCTACAATGTCTACAAGAAGTTGTTTTGCGTTTTGGCAAATATTTTATGAATTATTACTCCTTGAATTCAGCAATTCGGCAAGAAAGATACAGCCGCTAGTCATGTTGTGTGAGTTTCTTTGTCCTTTCTTTTTCCGCACTGCTTCCAGTTATTTGCATCCAAAGATGCTGTGCTTGCCAACGCCGCGGTCTTTTCGAGTCAACATTGCTGCTTGCCTCTTCGCTGACTTCTTTGTCACTGTCTTCAAAGAGTTCGCAATTTTTGGTGCCATCAAGCACATTGTATACGCCGCACTTCTTAAAAGAGCGCACAATCAAAGTTTCCGGGTTGTCGTCTCATGCTGCAGGCTCTCCAGCGTCTCACTTTTTTTTCATCCACTTTAAGTCCCATTCAGCTTGGACATGGCATGACGACTCCGCTGCTAAGATAACTTTTTTTTTTATAAGCATCACTATATAGTCACCACCTGTGTGGCACCATTGAGCTGCACCACACACTTGAAGCGCGACACAAAATGACAAACGGCTCGCCTCAACACTCGCCACAAAAATCAAAATGGGGCCTCACATGTGTACATAAGCCTGGTGTTGTAGGGCTATACAGTTAAGCCTGGATATAACGAAAGTGATAAATTCCCGAAAAAATTCGTTTCGTATAAAGCGGATTTCGTTATATGCAGGTTCGGTGCGAAAATTCTGAAAATAAACGTGCAAATTGACCAAAAGGGGGACTGAAGGCAGAGCTAACCCAGAACACTCATATTACAGTAAAAAACTGCGTTATTATTGCGATAGCAATTATATGGACGCTCTCGACGGGTTTTTGCCGTCGCTGCCATGTTCCATAACAAGTCCAAATTGATAACATGCCCCCGTGCATCGCAACTTTCGCGAGCGAGTAAAAGCGTGCGAGCGCTGCTGAAGCAGACATCAAATGAGTCAGCCTATCCCTATCGCCTGGAAAGTGCATAAGATAACACCTCCCGCGTGATAGAACTGCCATCAAATGTTCAAACAGAAATTAAACCACCCGTCTTAAACGAGCATGAAACAACGCGGGTAAGGAGCAGGGGAGTCGCTCGAGTAGCAATGATGAACTTGGAGTTTAAGGGCGATCGCTGGCGTGCTTGCTATCGCGGCGAGTATCAGTGCGGCTTCAATGCGAACCGACTGTGTGAAGAGAGCACTTCTCCCTGAAGCAGCTGTATTTGTTCACACCAGCGTTTTGTAGGAGTTCTGCGATAGCGGATCTAAAAGAACTGGCTGCCAGCCTTACTTCTTAAAACATAAATATACTATCCCTTTCATTGCATTCCATTCAATGCGCCGTCGTGATGTTGCCAGAACCAATCAGCTAATCGCGAAGGCTACCAGCCTGCGCACTCGCGGCGAAAGACGAAAGCATGTGATGAGTTGACCTCCGAATATCCGTTGTCATCCTGGTCTCGGAGAGTTTCCATCAGCGCTCAATCTGACGTGCCCTCGGGGTTGACGACACGATTGCCCGAAATTAACAAAAGTCACAGTTTTGCCGCAAGGCCGAAGCAATGCGGATAGCAACAACTTGAAATTCACGATGAGAACAGCAAGCAGATCGAAATGGGCAGCGCGCTGCTCATGCACTAATGACGCATGAAAACAACACACACAAGACAAGAACGAACTAACAATGTTTAACGCTCGGCACTTAACGCACTGTTTAAACAAAAACGAGGCACGAAACGTAATCACAGGTACAGATATGAGTGCAAACCAACAATGTGCCCCAGTTGTCACTTTGCTGTGTTTGAAAAGCGCACTCTTTTAGCAAACGGCGCCTGTCTTAGGAGCGAAGTGATCTTTGTGCACCCGGCAACTAAATGCAATCGTTCCAGTGCAAGTCGAAGGCGCGTGATCTTCACTGAAGGATAAGCGCGTGCGTACAAACATCTACCCCCCCCCCCGCCCCCCACCCATTCACGGGGCAAAGTAAGGGTGGGAGAAAAGCGTGCGTCGGCGCATCCTGACAAACTGGGAGCCGTGCGCAGGCGGCTTTTTTTTTTTTTTTTTTTTTCTCGAGTTTTCATACATATGTGAATGGCAGCGGAGACGGCAAAAAACTAGCCGAGACTGTCCATATAATGGCTGTCGCAATAATTAAAAAAAAAAAGCAAAGTTGATTGTCGTTGGGGACCAGCACCATGCGCACGCAGTGAAAATATGCACGGGCACATGGCGTCGGAAATGAAGAGCGAACAACAAGGACACCGCAGAAAAATATTCAGTAAAGCGCCCTTTATGTGCAGCGCAGCCCCGCATATGTGATGCTGACTAAAAGCGTGGCACTGCCAATGCGCAAAAGTAGCTTTCTTCTTCATTTTGGTTTGCCGTTTGGGAACGGGGGCACACACCTGCGCTAGTTGGCTCATGGGGTTCAGGCCAGCCTCGTGCTCACTCACCCACGCCCAATAACCAGCGATCGCTCTCGCCTAGCGCGTCGTGCGTGCCACCGCCACTTCGCGCTTTGTCGGCGGCGGGGAAGTCACGGGACATGCATGCTCGTTCCAAAATGCGGAGTAAAATTCCTAGATTGTTCGTGGGGAAAATTCTTAATATCAAGGTTGTGTCCCACTGTTACTTTGTTACATAGAGGTTGCAAATACATGTGCTTCTATGAAGCAATGACGGGGAATAGAAAAACTGTTATATCGGAGAATTCTCTATGGAGGTTCGCTATAAGCAGGTTTAACTGTAATACCGTCTAGGTGGCACTAGTTGTGTACCACTTTTTTTAATAAAAAATGATGCATTTTTTTAAATCCTTGTATCTAAGCCGATCCTGGAGTTTAATGCAAAGAAATTTGAAAAAAAAAAAAAAACAATCAGCCTAGATTCCAATAAATAAGGTACATGCCTTCGAAATGTTGGACGAACAGGCACTGCACCAAAGCGCGACACAGAGTGAAACATGCATGAATGCACAAACGCACCCATACAATACGACTCGCCAGGTGTTGTCATTCGTGTCAAAAAAAGGAATACATAAACGAGGCCATGATGCTCGAATTGATACGAGCAGTCTGAAACTGTCGTCCAGGTGCACTGCTGCATCCTCGAAGCATGCTGGTGTTGGATGCGTTTCATGGTCACCTGACCTGACGCTGTGAAACGCACACTCAGCGATAGAAAAATGGACCTCGCCATGATACCAGGTGGTATAAGGTCTACCTTCTAGCCACTCGATGTTGTGCTAAACAAGCTGTTCAAGGATCGAGTGCGGCTAGAGTATCAAGTGTGGATGTTCGGTGATAACCCAAAGACGCCAAAGGGCCCCCTACAGAGGCCTGGGCTTGTGACTGTTTGTGGTTGGGTGCTTTCCCCCTGACGTTCCTTGCCACATTCAATGTTGGAAAATGCTTTCAAGAAATGTTGCATCAGCAGCTCACTACCGTATTTATTCGAATTTAAGGCGAGGTTTTTTTCCGAAATGCGTAGTCTCGTAGTCGAAATGCGTAGTCCCCGCTTTATATTCGAAGCTCAGTATACCAATATGCCGATTTTGGTGTGACAGTTTTGGTTTCCACTTTTCAACCATTTCCAAGCTTCCAAAAGAGCCCGACAACACTGTTGGAAATGTAACAAAAATATTTCAGAATAAAACGCATAAAATTTTACACAAACGCAGGTTGCAAATGGTAAATACAGAGTTTCGGTCGCTGCAAGGTTATTGAATAGCTCGCGATACAGAAGAGGCCATGGCAGCGGACGCCTTCGACGGTGTGAACATGCTGAGCCAGCAGTAGCCGCTCCAAGCCAGTAGTAGCCGCAGCCGCAAAGCTTGTAAACAAGCCGGGACACCATTTTGCATTTTTTGTTGGAGTGCTGGAGTCCCTGCTGCAAGATTTTCTTTCTCAGTGCTTGTTTCTTATTTATGCGACCAGCGCAATGGCGAGTCCTCGTTGCCACTACGATGCAGCCTTCAAGAGGAAAGTCATAGCAGAGGCGGAAGCCACTGGAAACTGCGCGGCGGGTCGAAAGTTTGACGTTCCGGAAAACAACGTGCGTCGTTGGCGCAAACAGAAGACGGCGCTCTTAGCATGCGCCGCTACGAGGAAGGCTTTCCGTGGCCCGCGAAAGAGAGCGTTTCCCGAAGTGGAAGAAGTGCTGACAGACTCTGTCAAAGAGAGAAGATGCCGCGGTTTGGCCGTTACTGCTGGCATCGTGCAGATGAAGGCGCGCGAAATCGCGAGAGAGCGTGGCATCCTTGCTCTCAAGTTCAAAGCTAGCCGGGGCTGGGTGCAGAAGTACATGAAGAGGGCCGGGTTTTCGTTGCGAAGGCGGACCTCCGTGATGCAGAAGTTACCAGAAGACTACGAAGAAAAACTAATTTCTTTTCAACGATATGTTATCGGCCTGCGACGCGACCACGACTTCCTACTCGGGCAGATTGGCAATGCTAACGAAACTCCAATTTTTTTTTTGACATGTCGTCGGCCCAGACAATTCATCAAAAAGGTGATCGCCAAGTGATCCTGCGCACTACAGGCAACGAGAAGGCTCGGATAACCGTGATGTTAGCCTGCGCCGCCGATGGGCGGAAGTTGCCCCCCTACATCATCCTGAACAGAAAGACCATGCCAAAGAACGAGGTGTTCCCGCAGAACGTCCACATTCGTTGCCAGGAGAAAGGGTAGATGACGAAAGAGCTTGTTCTGGACTGGGTAAGGTCGGTGTGGTGCCGAGACCTGAAGCACTGCTCGCCCGGAGGTCAATGCTGGTCCTCGACGCATTCCACGGGCACCTCACGGAAGGTGTGAAGAAGAAGCTCATCGACAATCGGACGTAGCTGGTCGTCATCCCGGGAGGCCTGACAAGCCAACTACAGCCGCTTGACGTTTGCCTTAACAAGCCCTTTAAGGCACACGTCAGACGGCTGTACAACGAATGCATGGCGTCTGACACTGTGGCCCTGACGCCGTCGGGACGTCTAAAGCGGGCGTCCCCATCCATGCTCACCCAGTGGGTGGTCGACGCTTGGGCAGTGATCCCCGAAGCCATGGTTGCGGCTTCGTTCCGCAAGTGCTGCATTTCAAATGCTCTTGACGGCACCGAGGACGACGATCTCTTTGAGTGCGCAAGTGATAAGGAAGATTCCGATACCACCACCTCTGAAGATAGTTTCTAAGTTGCACTTTCGTCTTGCTCCGAATAAATATCTTTGCGTGTTTCTAAGTTGCACTTTCGTCTCGCTCCGAATAAATATCTTTGTGTACAGATAGTTCATGAATACTTGGTGTCTGCTTTGCTGAAAGGTAAGGAATTTAGTTGCCTTTTTTCTTTCGTTTCTTTTGCCCTATATTAGTGTGCAAACTTTTTTTCTTTTTCTTGGGTCCTTCAACTTCCCCTCGCCTTATATTCGTGACCACCTTATATTCGAATAAATAAGGTAGATGGTACAGGAGATGATGCGATGTGGGAGGACTCTCGTCTTCAGAAGACAGTGGTGCTTCGTCTGACGAATAGAAACAGTTGTGATAGTGGTTGAGGGAAGCTCCGACGATCATGGGTGCAGTGCGTCCAATTCACAAATGAATGTTTTTCGACAGTTTTAGGTTGTTTTTCCTTTTTTTTTTTCTTTTTTGGTCACCCAAACTTGGGAGCTCGACCTATAGTCCGGTTAATACGGTAGCCAGGGATGATAGGTTCCACGTGGTGGAAGTGTTATCACCCCCTGCAAAGCCGTTTGTGCCTCATAGCGCACACAACTTTCACGGATAGGCCGCATTTAGGGTTGACAACCATCCAGCAGTAGGTGGCGTTGTGCTCGCAAGAATTTATCACCATCATCGTCGTGGTTAGCGTGGTACACCAGCAATGACGCCTGGTGGCGAGGCTGGCTGGCGGCACATGAAACATGAACGGCTCTCTTTGGTGTGTGGTGGCTAGCGTGGATGGTAGTCTACTGACGGGGTCCCGCAGAATGCGGCGACCGCAGGCCATGTCCCGTGAGTCCATAGCCGTGAGTTGGCTATGAACTGACGGACATCGGCGACGACCCCTTCGCGTTACCTTGTGTTTGTTGGTTGAGTGAATTGGGAATATTGCATAAGCTTGCGTTTTAGCGTGTCACTGGTGACGCATTTGATTCGGCTGACAATATCGTTCATGTAAAAAGTAGTGCGATGAATGTGATGTTTGGTTGGGTCCATCGACGTCTAATGAGTCAGTGCGCTCTGAGAGCGGCGTTTTCTCATTTCAAGGCCCCACAACGTGGTGGTACACGCTTCATAAGATCAGCATAGTTGCGAACATGGTTTAATTCACTAATGAGCACACAAGGCCTAACTTGTCACCAAAGTAGTTATTAGCAGTTCTTAATAAAGATACACAGAAAAAAAAATGGCTTGGTCTCTAAGTGCACGTTTTGCTCATACAAACTACTGATATAATGACCACTTATCTCGGCACTTTCGGGTTCGTTATATACGAGTCGACTGTAATGTGTGACTGACCTGCGTGCCTCGTAGTCCACGGTAAGTCCATTTGGCCAAAAGATATCCTCACGCACAATCACCTTCCGAGTGGTCAGGTTTCCATCCATGCTAGCTCGTTCGATTTTCGGCACGTCCCCCCAGTCGGTCCAAAAAAGCAATCTGCAGATGAAAGACCCCTGAGCATGTCACCAGTTACAAGTACTATAAAGCAGCACTGAGACAACAATTTCGCACCGCGTGTGTGTGTGTGTGTTTTTTTGCAATAGATAGCTGTTTATGATCTACTCATCACAGCTGAAAACCGTTTGTACAAGTGCACGGCCGCTATATATTTAAAAATGTTTTTCGTGCAGCCAGTCTCAGTTTTTAAAGTGTCCCAAGCTATGCAGGAGAAGCTCCGGAGACAAGGTAAACACAGCTAACCACGAAACCACGAAAAACTGACGTGGCACTGACACCCACCACACGCCAAGAGGCCAGAGGCAAGAAGGAGAAAATCAAACTTGGTAGTGCAAGGTGCGTGCCAGCCAACACATACTCGTAACATATGTATGTTTACATTGCCCCAGTGCTCATGTCTTGCGCAGCTTGAAACCCAACATCCAAGCGGTTGGGCAGAGAGGGTTGCGGAAGCACTACTGAGCGTTACAAGCTCTCCTCATCTCTGTCCCGTTCCCCCTTTCCTTTCCGAAGGAAAAATTAAATTTTTACCACCACCACTAGGAGTTTTAAAGTGCGCATTGTCAGTCACCTGGCATGTACTTTAAAATTGGTTTTAAATATGTTCCAGCCAATGATATCTCGTAGATGTTGTGTATGTCTCTACATTACTCTATCTAAATCATTATCTCGCCTTCAAAATGTGTTGGTGCTCCTGTAACATATTAAATAAATGGCGTAACAAGAGAGCATGTGCCTTCATGCAGCCTGATTATCGCTTATTGACCCTTCTCATTTACTCCTGCTGTTGTCCTGCCAGCTGTGACAGGGTGGGTCAAAAACAAGGAGGATACATAAAACTTGCTGGAGTGGAAGGGGCGCTGTGCAAGTGAAGCCAGCCGCCGCCATCTTGCCAATGGCAAAAAGCGTGCTCAGCGCCATCACGAGCTGCTGATTTCGTCCGTTCTTGTTTCACCTTGTCGGCATGTAAAAAACAATTGGTTTACAATCCTTGCCTCTTGCGTCGTTTACGGATGTGCCAACAGGTTGAAAAAAGGTTGTGGCCTCACATTCCACCTGTACGTACACGAAAACGTCTTCGACATAGCCATTTCGCGCTCGTTACTAAAGGGAGCTATAGCTGACGCGATCTAAGCGTGCAAAACATAACAGTCCGGATTTGTTTTACAGGTTTCCTAAAGATCCTGTAACGCGGAGCCTCTGGGAGTGGGCCGTTCGCCCTGAGAAGTAGAATGCGAAAGACTGAGATCACTTCGCTCTGTGCACTTCGCGCCAGCGTGCTTTGACCACCTCTTTGACATTGAAGGGAAAACATGTGAAATGGGGTTATGAAGTGGCATTGAAGGCACTTCAACGTGAAGAAGGGTTGTGGCTCGGAAACAAACTTACGAAAGTCCACGTCCAATGGGAAAAGCAAGAAAATGAAGGTATGATATGCTGTACAACTGATCGAGTGCCTCAAATGCTGACGCTTTGGACTTCTGCGAACGAAAGCTAAAGCTGCCGCAATTCAAGGGTGCCAGCACAGGATCTATGTTTATTAGAACTTTTGATCGCTTGTTTGGCATCTTAAACTCCAGGAACCTGCTGGCAAAGTCGTACAAAGCACCCCTTTGGCAGGGGAATGAAGCATTATGGAAGTCGTTTTTTGCGGAGACTCGAGCGTACATAAACGGGCTGAGAGATCCGGCAGTGAAAGAAGGACTGAAAAAAAAAACGGATTCATTGGTTTTTGGATACGCATGGCAAGCACGGAAAGAATGTTTGACAGACTTGTCAGCCAAGGTCAGCTGAAATACTTACTGACACACAAACTCAGTCAAGACTATGCCGAAAACGTCTTTGAATCAATACGTGGATGAGGCGGCCATAACAACAACCCAACAGCTTCGCAGTTTATGGCTGCATACAAGCGTCTATTGGTTCAGACGGAAGTCAAGTCTTCAAGTTCTAGACACTGCTCCCAAGATGTTCTCTCCGTATTGAATGCAACGACTCCTGCAGCCATGGTAGATCCTAGAAGCAATCTCATTGACATGCGCAAGGCCCCAGTCCTGCAGCCCGATGACCACGACAATACGCATTGCATTGACTAGTCCGAAAGCTTTTCTGTTTTTGTCGGTTCCGTGGTGCCATACATAGCAGGCTTCATTGTTCGACAGGTCGAACTGCAACTACCTGTGAAGAGTGCATAGCAGCCATGCACTCAGACGAGCTGACACCTTTAATTAAATGTAAGAGGCGAGGTGGTCTTGTTTCACCGTCGCGAGATGTCATTAGCCTCTGTAAAGAAGTCGAGGACTGAGGCAGCTACAGGCTGAATGTGATTCCACCACAATGGTGAAGTAAAGAGCAAAACACCTCATCCTGAAAGTTCTATGAGCTTCCTCCGAGAAAAACTGGTTCCATAAACTAGAGCAACACGTCCTAGACTTCGATACGCTTGATAATCAGGTTTACAGTTTGTGCAGGCAAATCGCCGAACAATACGTAAAAGTGAGGATACAACACATGACGAAGGAAAAAAAAAAAACGAAAATTGGTCAAAAGGAAGGTGGGACCACTTTTGACAAGGGCAATAATTTTCACCCACCAGTAGGGCACCTATGTTTTCGATGATGTGTTTGCTTATAGGCATCGCTATTTAATGCATATGCACTTTAATTGAGTTCTCTACATGCCACTTGGCTGCGTACAAGTCGCAATAAACGTTTATAACCAGAATTACTTGTTTTTGTTGCTCAATAAACACACGAGTCACTTCACCCACAGCGCAATGAAGCATAAATTTGAAGCGCTCGGCTCTTTTCTGCCACTGGCAACATGGCCGCCGCGCGCTCGGCGCGGCTTCACTCTCTCCCGTAGCGGCGCATAGGCGGCTTCCACTCCAGCAAGTTTTATGTATCCTCCTTGGTCAAAAACAGCCTTTCTACAATTAGTGCATTACATGAAGAAAAAATACAACAAATAAACTACACAAACTAACATTAGCAAACAAAAAACAAAGCCACACATCAGCAAGATATTTCGCGCTCGTTACTAAAGGGAGCTATAGCTGACGCGATCTAAGCGTGCAAAACATAACAGTCCGGATTTGTTTTACAGGTTTCCTAAAGATCCTGTAACGCGGAGCCTCTGGGAGTGGGCCGTTCGCAATGAGAAGTAGAATGCGAAAGACTGAGATCACTTCGCTCTGTGCACTTCGCGCCAGAGTGCTTTGACCACCTCTTTGACATTGAAGGGAAAACATGTGAAATGGGGTTATGAAGTGGCATTGAAGGCACTTCAACGTGAAGAAGGGTTGTGGCTCGGAAACAAACTTACGAAAGTCCACGTCCAATGGGAAAAGCAAGAAAATGAAGGTATGATATGCTGTACAACTAATCGAGTGTCTCAAATGCTGACGCTTTGGACTTCTGCGAACGAAAGCTAAAGCTGCCGCAATTCAAGGGTGCCAGCACAGGATCTACGTTTATTAGAACTTTTGATCACTTGTTTGGCATCTTAAACTCCAGGAACCTGCTGGCAAGGTCGTACAAAGCACCCCTTTGGCAGGGGAACGAAGCATTATGGAAGTCGTTTTTTGCGGAGACTCGAGCGTACATAAACGGGCTGAGAGATCCGGCAGTGAAAGAAGGACTGAAAAAAAAAAACGGATTCATTGGTTTTTGGATACGCATGGCAAGCACGGAAAGAATGTTTGACAGACTTGTCAGCCAAGGTCAGCTGAAATACTTACTGACACACAAACTCAGTCAAGACTATGCCGAAAACGTCTTTGAATCAATACGTGGATGAGGCGGCCATAACAACAACCCAACAGCTTCGCAGTTTATGGCTGCATACAAGCGTCTATTGGTTCAGACGGAAGTCAAGTCTTCAAGTTCTAGACTCTGCTCCCAAGATGTTCTCTCCGTATTGAATGCAACGACTCCTGCAGCCATGGTAGATCCTAGAAGCAATCTCATTGACATGCGCAAGGCCCCAGTCCTGCAGCCCGATGACCACGACAATACGCATTGCATTGACTAGTCCGAAAGCTTTTCTGTTTTTGTCGGTTCCGTGGTGCCATACATAGCAGGCTTCATTGTTCGACAGGTCGAACTGCAACTACCTGTGAAGAGTGCATAGCAGCCATGCACTCAGACGAGCTGACACCTTTAATTAAATGTAGGAGGCGAGGTGGTCTTGTTTCACCGTCGCGAGATGTCATTAGCCTCTGTAAAGAAGTCGAGGACTGAGGCAGCTACAGGCTGAATGTGATTCCACCACAATGGTGAAGTCAAGAGCAAAACACCTCATCCTAAAAGTTCTATGAGCTTCCTCCGAGAAAAACTGGTTCCATAAACTAGAGCAACACGTCCTAGACTTCAATACGCTTGATAATCAGGTTTACAGTTTGTGCAGGCAAATCGCCGAACAATACGTAAAAGTGAGGATACAACACATGACGAAGGAAAAAAAAAAACGAAAATTGGTCAAAAGGAAGGTGGGACCACTTTTGACAAGGGCAATAATTTTCACCCACCAGTAGGGCACCTATGTTTTCGATGATGTGTTTGCTTATAGGCATCGCTATTTAATGCATATGCACTTTAATTGAGTTCTCTACATGCCACTTGGCTGCGTACAAGTCGCAATAAACGTTTACAACCAGAATTACTTGTTTTCGTTGCTCAATAAACACACGAGTCACTTCACCCACAGCGCAATGAAGCATAAATTTGAAGCGCTCGGCTCTTTTCTGCCACTGGCAACATGGCCGCCGCGCGCTCGGCGCGGCTTCACTCTCTCCCGTAGCGGCGCATAGGCGGCTTCCACTCCAGCAAGTTTTATGTATCCTCCTTGGTCAAAAACAGCATTTCTACAATTAGTGCATTACATGAAGAAAAAAATACAACAAAGAAACTACACAAACTAACATTAGCAAACAAAAAACAAAGCCACACATCAGCAAGATATTTTGTACACACATAAAG